TGATTGTACAGAGTCCCTAGCAGATACTTTCAAGAACTAAAATCTTTAACTTTATAGATCTTTTTAAAATAATGATTGTTAGTTATATTACTCCAAAACTATAAAATTTCGGATTTTTTTAATATCACGTGAGATTTGGGGGTGGGGGAGGGGGTCAGGCAAAATCTCACCAAATCTCACCAAGGGGGGCGGGGGGGTTGAAAAATAGCCAAAATTGTCTCACGTAATTTATGGACGCCCCCAAAGGTTATTCATAAATGTGTAACCTGTCACAGATTGAAAGCCGCTGCAGCAACTCAACTGATGGGTTCCTTGCCTTCAGCACGAGTCAACGCATGCCGCCCGTTTGAGAAGGTCGGGGTAGACTTCGCTGGACCGGTTGCCGTAAAAAACAGTCGCATCAGGAAACCCGTCATTGGAAAAGGTTACATTGCACTATTCGTATGTTTCGTCACGAAGGCTATCCACCTTGAACTTTGCTCAGATTTGACAACCGAGTGCTTTCTCGCGTGCTTCAAGCACTTTATTGCAAGAAGGAATTTGCCCAGCGATGTCTACTGTGACAACGGCACGACGTTTAAGGGGGCAAGGAACAAATTGGATGAGTTCTATACCTTGCATTCTTCTCAGAGCCATCAGCATAATGTACAAGCATTCGCTTCGAAAAAAGGTATAAATTTTCACTTCATTCCCAGCTATAGCCCTACGTTTGGAGGTTTATGGGAAAGTGGCGTAAAGAGTACAAAGTATCATTTGAAGCGTGTTGTCGGCAAAGCGCTGCTCACGTACGAACAGCTAAATACCGTTCTGGTCGAGATAGAGGCTGTGCTGAATTCGCGTCCACTCACGGCAGTAACTGCTGATGCGAGTGACTTCTCATACATTTCTCCTGGTCACTTTCTTACAGGGGCGCCGCTCAGTGCTTATCCTGAGCGCGATGTCAGTGGTACTCCCACTAACCTTCTTAGATTTTGGTCAATCACAGTGAGTATGAAGCAATCGTTTTGGAGTTACTGGAGTAAGAATTACCTTAATTTATTGCAAAACAGACCTAAGTGGCGTTCAGTAATGCCTAATGTGAAGGTTGGTAGTTTGGTAATCCTACGCAACGACAACACCTCTCCTTTAGAGTGGCCTATGGCTCGTGTTACTAATATCTTTCCTGGAAAGGATGGCAAAGTGCGTGCTGTCGAAGTGCGTACCGCAAACTCTCATACTCACTCTAGGTCTATAACCAAAATATGTGTCCTACCATTGGAAGTGTAACATTTTACACTAATTTAGCTATGAACATCTCATTGTTTGTTTTTTCTTTTCTATACATGATATACATTGTATACAATATTGTTTAAGTTTTTGTTGTACTGAACCAATGTGTACTAAGTTTATGTACCTAATTAGTATGTGCATGTGGATTGAGTGATCCTTGCTTCAATCTTAACAAAAATCGAGGAAGTTTTACTTAAAATATGTTAAAACATTGCGATGAAGTTTAAAAATTTGTTAAACCTAAGATAAAAATGTTATGGCCAATAAATAGGAGCACTCATACCGCACGCTTTAAGAAAACGTCAACATGTTTATTTCAGAAAATAAAGCCTTTCCACTTCTTTTTATAGTATTGAAAAATTGTTAAGAATATGTTAAAACTATTAACAAATTAAGAAATTCCTTGCACGTCCCGTTCCAAAGTTATGACGATTATTTAGGATCACTCACACCGCACACGGGCCGTATGAGTGCTCTTCAAAATAATGACTTTTTATTAATAAATACGTTTTATTTCTGTTGGGAAATGTGTGCAAACTGACGAGCGAATTTGTTAAAGAATAAGTGTGACAAAACTTAAAAGCTGAAGGAAGAAATTAACCTTTATTCTTTCCTCCAATATGCCGTGTGAGTGATCCTTACTTTTACCTCTCAAATTCGCTCGTCAGTTTGCACACATTTCCCAACAGAAATAAAACGTATTTATTAATAAAAAGTCATTATTTTGAAGAGCACTCATACGGCCCGTGTGCGGTGTGAGTGATCCTAAATAATCGTCATAACTTTGGAACGGGACGTGCAAGGAATTTCTGAATTTGTTAATAGTTTTAACATATTCTTAACAATTTTTCAATACTATAAAAAGAAGTGGAAAGGCTTTATTTTCTGAAATAAACATGTTGACGTTTTCTTAAAGCGTGCGGTATGAGTGCTCCTATTTATTGGCCATAACATTTTTATCTTAGGTTTAACAAATTTTTAAACTTCATCGCAATGTTTTAACATATTTTAAGTAAAACTTCCTCGATTTTTGTTAAGATTGAAGCAAGGATCACTCAATCCACATGCACATCTAATTAGTTTGCTTCTTTAGAATTACATATTGTTTCTGTGGCCGCCACCATGTTGGCAACATCGAATAAAAATGTTTATTTTTTACTCTAGCAACTAAGAACTTTTTGCTTTCTTGCTTGTGTGTCTGCAACAAACGTGTAATGTGCTATTACTTGAAAGTCGTCAATAAAAATTGTGAAATTCATCAGCGCCTATAATTTTAGAATAAAGAAGCCCTGCTCTTTACAACTATGAAATGAGTATGTAGGTCATTTAACACCTTCTCTCACTAGAGGAGGTCTAACCAAAGTGGCACACTCACCTAGAGGAGACGCGGCGCTTATGTCCACCAGTGACGAGGTTGACGAGCGAAGACACGACGGTCTCGTCGGCGTAGTTCACAATGTCCACCCACGTCTCGGCAGAGAAGTTAGCTACATTGACACCATTTACCTAGTGTCAAGTGAAGGAAGGCACAAAAGGCACCTATTGGGCTAGGGAAGGAAGGAAAGTGATTTATCTAAAATATAGACATATCTCTGTCTCAGGGGAAGGGGAAACAATATTCCTAGTGATGCTACTAGGGGAAAGGGGAGGTTTGTTACATTAACACACCTCACCTAGCGCCAAGAGTGAGAGGAAGGGGTTTTGCTACAATGACATACTCACATAGGGCTAGGAAAGTCAGGAGGAAGTTTGGGAACAGTGGCACACTCACGTAGAAGGGACGGGGTGCTTGTTGGCTAAGACAGGTGGTTTGTCATGACATGGCACACCTAGTAACATCATAAGTGAGAGGAGGACGCGGCGTTTATTTGTTAAGAGGTTGACGTAGAGACCTAGGAAAGATGGGAGGTCTAACCACAGTGGCACACTCACCTAGAGGAGACGCGGCGCTTGTGACCACCAGTGACGAGGTTGACGAGCGAAGACACGACGGTCTCGTCGGCGTAGTTCACGATGTCCACCCACGTCTCGGCTGAGTTGTGCCAGAAAACGCCAACAGTTCGCTTCGTTCTGTAAGTATTATAAGGTATAAAATATCTTGTCAGTTCATTTATACACAAGACAAGTAAAGAAAGAAAGATGCACAAATAAGTATTGTCGATGATACTGAATAAAATTTCTTCTTTATCATCGACAATACACCGAAACTATCCACAAATAAGTGTATTGTTATTGATACTGAATAAACATTTATTCTTTCTTTCAAATAATTCCTTGTTGAAACTATAACGATAAGTCCGTGAAATGATCGTACGTTAAATGATTATTTCATAATAAAACGCATGACACATCGTCCAAAAAAAAAAATCTGAAGATTTTTTTTTATTCTTCACATCCTGTCAAAATTTTAAGGTTGTGTTGTGTAAGTGCTGTAGAGCATAAAATTAGTATTTGGTATTTCCGGCGGGAGGCCTGGCTATTTCCTCTGGTCCTAGAGCAGTTACAGGCGGGTCCCTATGTGACCCTCGATCGCCACACGTTCCCCTTTGATCCCGCGTATCCCTCGTTCACCCTATGTGCCCCCAGTGCTCTTCGATCACCCTACGGGTCACCGTTCGCCTCGCGTGACCCTCAATAACCCCGAGTGAACCCATTCACACCGCGTGCCCCTCGATCGTCCCACTTGTCCCCGTTCACCCCGCGTGTCCACTCACCCGTGCGCGTAGAGCACCGACACGGCGCCGTAGATGGCCATGCGGCTGTCGAGCTCCTAAAGCCCGGTCCCTGAGCACTGAGCACGTAGAATTTTGTCCAATGACCCCAAGCTACCCATCCCATTCTTATCGCTCGCGCGTAATTATGTTGCTGTCGCGCTCGCACACTCACTGCGGGCGCCCGTCGCACAGTCGCTACAGCAATATAATTACGCGCGAGCGATAAGGATGGGTAGCTTGGGGTCATTGGACAAAATTCTACGTGCTCACGGACCGGGCTTTAGTATACATTCAGGGTTCCACTGTGGCCCCCGTGTGCCCACTCACCCGTGTGCGTAGAGCACCGGCACGGAGCCGTAGATGGCCATGCGGCTGTTCAATTCGTATTCGAACACGTCGAGGTTGTAGAGTCGGTAGGGCTCCCCACCCGTGGTGGTGGATAGGGCCAGGCCGTCGGTGTGCTCGGGGATACCTGGAGAGAAAATGTCAAGTTCCTTAAAAAAACTCATTTATTTTTGCAAATAGGCTTTTAAAAAGCACTTTTACACGGCCCAGTATTAACCCTACCACTGCTTCGGGACAATAAATGGGCCAGAAAAGAAGCAGCGCAAGAAACTCAGTCACTATTGTCAGCCACCTTTTCAAGGGTTTACAGTCTTTAAAATATACAAATTATAGTCATAATAAGTATTGATGCGAGCAAGGTAGTTAAACAATCCAAACATTTTTATGTTTTGTTTAATCATCAACTTTATAGTAGCCCTTATTAGAATAAGGGCTGATATTTCAATCGTTAGGCAACTTTTATCTGAAGAATAAACTTGTCATTTTGACATATTTCCCATACTGAAACTGTCAATGTGTCAAACTTATTCTTCGGTTAAAAGTTATCTGACGATTGAAAAATCAGCCCTTAAGAAGATAAAAGAGGTTAGATGACGCGTTTTTTTTACATCGCGCAATTGAGATTCTTAGGCGAAACGCACGACTGCATAATAAATAATATAATAATAAACTGTAATAATAAATAGCCCCTGTGCACAGGCTGGGGATGGTTTTTGGCTACATCCCATGATATAGTCAGAGACTAGATCCAGCATGTGCACCACTTTCACTTTTGTCGATTATTTTGCGCTTAAAACGGCCTCTACGTGTTGGATCTGTATCCCCACGCAAGCCTTGTAAAGGACCGGGACACTTTTGACCCGTGAGCTCCAAAGCGTACAAACATAATAATAAATAAATATCCTTGGACATTTAACACTGCGCCGCTAGCTCGACTAAACTATCGGCCGACGAAAAATCTGTGGTCTGCGGCTAGGCTAAAATTTCATGTTTGAATACAACGCGACGCGCCCGCGCCTGCAGCCTGGCCAAACACTGAAATGTTCTATATTCTTATACAAGTCCCGCTCTATACCTACTCTATGGTCAAAAGAGTATCAGACTACTTACCATAGACCTGGTCAGCGTCAGGGAACGAGAAGTCGAGCGAGATGGCTTCATTACCACGCGGCTTGCTGTCGTGGTGCGACTTGAAGTTCTCGCCCCACATGCCTTCTTCTTCCTGCTAACAAAACAGACATCATCAGGTCATTTCGTCTCCTGTACAAGTTTATAAGAACAAAGTTCGTAAGACTACCAACAGATGGCGCTGTGTTAACTTAGCTCGCGCAAGTGTAGTATTCCGCGAGCCCCTTTATAGTGAATTGTTTTGTATGAAATTGACTATCTTCGGAACAATATACCGTTATTTGCTAGTCTACCTAGCATTCCCGCGACTGGACATTGTGGTCATTATGGTCCTTCGTTAGGGTCCTGCAACAGGGGTCCGATGCCCGAGCTGCTCTAATTTACTATTTTTGCATGTCTAAATTCAAATTATTCCATCGCATGTCACATGGGTAAGGGTTGACAGAACATTTAAAACTGTACAAAGACGACCCTCTCTAATTTACCAGATGCAAATGGAGGACTCGGAAAGCACTATTGTTATTGATCATTTACACATTACCGAAGCAACATTTTTAGCTACAACGCAAAAGAGTTATAAGTTGGACATGATTTGCTTGTTACAAATAGACCGATTTTGAAATGTTTTTGGTTTGAAAACCTATCAAAAATTGGAAACTTGTCCATTGCAGTTGCCGATTCGTTACAGTAATTGAAGTAACTTTTAGAAACAATATTACTGATCCGTTTTATCATACGAATCATAGATTTTTTTGTTTTTGAATTTAGATATTAAAATGACAACAGTAAGTTGTGACCATGTGAACACAAAATGCACAAAACACAACAGGAAGGCGCTGGACGCAGGCCGCTACCAACCGGGCAGCATGGAAAGCATTGGGGGAGGCCTATGTTCAGCAGTGGACGTCCTATGGCTGAGATGATGATGATGACGAACACAAAATGCATGACGTATTACTACCACTACCGCATCCCTATTTATTTTTACATTTTAAGGATTGGCTATTCATAATGTATAATTGATTACTTATTAATAACTACAGAATGTAACACCCGCGACCTACACAGATAAGGTGTTAATTATTATGTAATTAGGACTAATATGCGTGTAAATTACACGTTGCTCTGGATATGACCTCACGTAGACAATAAATTGTACAAATCATAACACTGCACTCATTAGATAACGCGTGTCACAAANCTCACAATTAATGTAAACAAGTTCATTGTAAGAGTATGCGCACACCGTTGATTTTTAGTTGGCCGATAGTTGTGCCCGATTTTCCCGATTTTCCGAATCGGCGTAGTGTGCGCACTCCCATACATGCCCATACTGATCAACTGCCCGACTAAACTATCGGCCGACGAAAAATCAACGGTGTGCGTCTACTCTAAATGCAATCATAAAATTAAAAATAATAATTGATATTTTAATTTAAAAGAAAATCACAATTTATTATGATATTTTTTAAGTAGATGGATGTTTCGATTTAGAATATTATCTTTTTATATTTTTATTACAGGTCTAGCGCTTAAATGAGTGTAGGAGCGGCAAGTGAGGGTGTTTTTGTGACGGCCAAACGTCAGGGAGACTTCACATCTGTATAGATGACCCACGCTGAACTGTCCCACCAAACTCAATGACAGGGGGCGCTACCATCGTTCAACTACACTCGGCATCAAATAAATCGCACCTCCCGCGACAAGCACTTATCAAACGTATGCATCCCCACTTCCCACCAATATTGGTACCATTTGAAAGCCTAGTTCTAAACTTCATTTCATTAAAGGAAAAGATTTTACCCCAAAAATGTGTCTTTAGAAGGATCCAGAGTAACTTCTTCAAAAAATAGGTAGTTACGCTATAGCCATTTTTTATGACTATAAAACTGTTAAGTTGGGATTAATCGCTATCCATCTGTTAAAGAGGACACGTGAGATCTTTATTTGGTTTTATAACCATAAAAATTGGTCTAATTGATCCCAGAGGTGAGCCTAAAGTGAGGTCTATTTTCAAGTCACATTTATGGTATATGTTAANGTCACAAATAATATAAACAAGTTCATTGTAAATTCAATCAGTAATAGGGATGTTTCCTGGGTAAAAAATCAAGAGTTTTAATTAGTCCGGCAGTAAGCTTATCAAAAACTACTCGACAAGTATTTTTCACTTTTTAAAACTAATGAAAATGTAAAGAGATAAAGCGTACCAAAGTTCTAAAGAAAAGGCCCGTGACGTCAGTGAGTGCGTAAAAGTTCAGTGCACTTTGTGACGTCGCGCGGAACTTCGGCCGAACCAAACAACGGCCCGCGCGCGGGCCATATCCGGCCCGCCACTGCCATCAATCTGGCCCGCGAAAGCTTAAGTCTAAGCCTATGTTTGCCCACCTATGTGGGCAGAAAAATAAAATCGTGATGGCCCTTGTAACATACCGAAAAAAAATATTATGGCCCCAAGGCTTCAAAGTTTGAAGACCCCTGACGTAGAATCACGAAAAATTAAGGTTAAAATCAGTTATTTATTTTTATTCCATCTGGATCTGGAAGAACGTATCTCAAGTTCATTGAAAATCTGTATCTAACAAATAATAATCTAAACCAATAAATTATCAGACACTGATTGATTTGTAAATCACATAGAATGACATACTTAAGTACTCGTACATTGATATCTCTTTACGTGCTAAATTACACAAAGCGATAAGAAAATTGGATTGACGGGACTCGGATTTCGGCATAACTGTATGTAGTTTGTTATTTTGTCAATGACGGGCTAGGGTAGGAGTAGGAACGGTTTCGCACTACGTCCGATCCAAACCGTCAAAATACGGATCAAGAAAACAATAGGTCTAGCGGTCTAATCCATTATATCTGATGAACATAGGCATATTTTAAAAAAAAGTAAGAGACACATGAAAATTACCGGGCCAGTTATAGGTCTTAGGCTAAGAACTCACGGCGCGATTTTCACCCGCGCCCGCGGCGGTTGTGGAATTGCGGTTTTATTTCAAAACTCACGGGAGCTGTTTTTTACGCGGTTATTCTAAGAAGTCACGTGCTAAGTCACTGGAACAAAATGGTAGCCCGCCGAACGGGGCGAAAACCGCCGAGCGGGACCCGATTACAACCGCGCCCGCTGTGGGCGAAAACCGCGTCGTGAGTTTGTGCATTAGTTTTTACATAAGTATCTGCATTCAACTCATGGCGCGGGTGAAAATCGCGCCATGAGTTCTTAGCCTTAGTCAGTGCCTGAGGTATGAGAGCTACACGGGAGTTTTTGAGACGTCAAACTGAGTTTAGCATCTATAATTGTGTTAATAAAGTTTATCTTTCTTTACTTTACGTAAACAAATCGAATCTATAACGATTGTGACGTAGTCTAAACGCACTGGTATCTTTTACTGAAGATACAGATGATCATTGTCATCGAAAATGACACGAGCGGAGCCGCGGGTGAAGGTTAGCGCACGACACACGCGAAAACGTTATCAGTCACGTACAGATAACGGAGATCAATGAGGAGTCATCGATCCCATGTACAAAACAATATTGACACGTTCTGTAATCTTTGTCTATTTATCTATTGAATTAGTCATTGAATACGACTATTAATGATTACATTATTGTTAATACAGACCGACATCAACACTGTGGTCTCATGATTAGTCTGAGAGGTTCTGGGTTTGATTTCCAAGTAGGACAAATCCTAAGTAAGACCTCCAAATATGTACCTATGTAAATACTTTCGTGTATTTACTTCGATTTCTACTAGTGCATTGCGGGAAGCTGATTTTATCATAGAAATATCAATTCAGATGGCACATTGGGCGATCACGTCGGTCCAATTGCACGGACAGACTGCTTCCATATGTATATTTTGGACGCCGCGACTCTGACGTCAAGTTTGCGAAGCTTTGTTGAACAAAATATATGAAACTGTCAGCCACAGCCTGTCGTGTGCGCCTAGACTTACGCCCGTATTCACAAATACTATGAGGTCTCACAGTGCGCGTGGAAGCACAGGGTGACACACGAACAAATAACAGAGCTCTATTCAACACTGTGCTCTCGATTTGCTGCTTCACTTAAGCAAGCATCGTTTGTGAATACAGGCTTTAATTCCAATCAGAAATAATAGTAACTTACCACTTGAACAACTTCGCCGTTTTCTTCATTCTTCTGTTTTTTCTCAATCAACGGTTCAACCAACAGCTGTGAGTTCTCGTTCAGAACCACAGCGACCTCTCCCTCCTTGTCCAGGAACTCAATCTTCAGAGGGCTGGCTGTTATCACCACCTTGTGGCCTTTGGAGTTGGCCACGATGAGCTGCCCGTCCTTCTTTGAGACTTGGTCTAACCTGTGAGAGGAGTTAAGTTTAAACTTTCTCTTTAAAGATGAGATCTGCGCTGGAGAGTGTAGAAATACTTAAATAAGCAGTGTTCTCAGTAGAAAAGACAATATGAAAAGGACACTACAACTGATCCGCACATAGTTGTGAGACTGACCGCAGAAGAAGCAAAGAAAAAAAAAGATGAGATCTGTTGATTTGTTGTGATGCTTGCTGTTTGAATAAAATAATTGGTACCAATTAACAAGCAGTGACAGGTGATGGGTTTTAATTCTTCATGAGCTAGCTGGCGGAGTTTGAGAAATCTCGTTATATGATACTTTTCTATGATGTCTAAAGTCTAAAGCCTGGTCCGTGAGCACGTAGAATCCCGTCCAATGACCCCAAGCTACCCATCCTTATCGCTCGCGCGTAATTATATTTCTGTCGCGACTGTGGGACGGGCGGCCGCAGTGAGTGTACGAGCGCGACAGCAACATAATTACGCGCGAGCGACAAGGATGGGCAGCTTGGGGTCATTGGACGGGATTCTACGTGCTCACGGACCAGGCTTTAGTTGTGTAATAAAATAAAAGTGTCTTACTTGTCAGCCAACGGAGTGTCCTTCAACGCAAGCATGGTGGAGAAGCGAGGGTACAACGGGTTGACCTCTTCCATCTCCACTCGGAACGTGCTGTCCACCAGAGCCGATATCTTAAGCACATACCGGAACTGTGAACAATTTTTTTAGTGTAATAACAAATTACTAATATGAAAATTATAAATAACTTGAAAAAATCGAACTGCCTAAGGCGGGAATTGAACCCACGACCTTCCGCTTGCCGGGCGACTGCTCTTCCAACTGAGCTACTTAGACACTGGATGAACCCGTCGAAATTTTCAAGTGTAATACGCTGTTACGGCCAGCGTTTGTTTCATCAATGTTGAGTATACCTACCCTACTACATCTAACAGAAATATTGTTGCAAATATTTAACTGTCAGTTAAGATGAAACAGCTCTTTTACATAGTTACTATTATGCGACTCTTAACGCTAAAAATTAAATAACTAAATTACTAATAGTCCAGTTAGCCACTCGTACTAAGCTAAATATGCTTGTATCATGACTGAGAGAACAAATGTGCGCTAAACATTATTGTTGTTCTTTGGAGAATTCGCTAATTTACGGTTTTGTTGTTTTTGGATAACAATGGTTGGATATTTAAATAGAAGTTAACATTTTAGAAAAGCTTTTTTTTATACAGGTTTGTTCAAAATAAAGCAGACTTCAGAATCTTAAGTTGAATATTAGTTGTTTGTTTCAGCCAAATGTCCATTGCTGGACAAGGTTGCAGGAAGTACCTGGATACGGGCAGCTTAGGACCAGTCGTTATGGTAATCCTTGGAAGAGTTTATCAGTGAATATTAATATTGTTATATAGGAAAATAACCTAAATGTGTTTGTACAAGGAAAATATTGTTTTCATTTTGCTAAATAAAGGAGAAAGATTGTTTACATAGCACTTAATATACTGCCAAGGTACCTGTATGGTTTCAAAATAATACATAAGGTAAGGGTATTGATTAAATAGGATAAAGTCAAAATTAGGATGCATCAGAAGTTGGCAAACATAGCAGCCTATCATATCAAGCATAAAATTATGACTCCATGCAGGTAAATACAGTTGTTGCCGTTACATCATGCATTATTGGCAGCCGTCCAGCGCCTGAATGCCACCAGACTTCATGATTTACTAATCTATAAAAAGTTAATAAATCATTATCAAAAATTACTTACCAAAACTGTCTTTGACTCCGATTCCAGGTCGATAGAATTCACGTCCGCGAACAGAAGGTTGTCATGGATCATAATATTATCGAAATCAACAACGTAGTGAGATTTTTCAGGCTTGAAAGCCCTGAGGCGTTTACAAAATCCTGACTGTTCACAAGTTTTGAAATTGTTTCTATCGACACCAAAGCTACCGCTGATGGCCAAAAAGCCAATCAGCAGAGGACCTAAGGTCTTCATCCTGTAAGAGAAACAACACTGCAATTAATTATAGCAAAAAATATTCAAGTCTATCCTAGACAAAGGCCGGTGGCGGTCACAGCCACTTGTAATTCGATATTTAATTCAATTACCTGGCAGTATTACGGAGTTCTCCGATGTAAAAAGAGTAGCGAAACTCCCAATTCAATTACTGTATGATCATTGCCGGCAACACGTTGATAAAATAACGCCGATTTTTTAGATTTTGATAAAAATTGCACGCTCGCGTTACGTGGAGAAATCTTGTTTGACAGCCAGCGGATCAGGGTTGCCATTACGAAAATAAAACCGGCAACTGTCAAAATTGGGCTAGTGTAGAATGTTTCAGCCTTGTTCGCATTATTCGAGTAATTTAGAATTTAGTCGATTGAGAGGCGATTATTTTAGTTAAGATTTTAGTAGCTAAAGTGAGCCAAAGTGTCTGAACACCAATTTTAAATTTTTGAACCCTCTTATATTGTTTGATCGAAGTGGCGTCCTTTATTTTGCTAAATGTATGGAAGCTGGAAGCATTGAATTTTGGGATAGATCAAGTTTATTTTGTAACTAGTATAAAATAATTTATACCGTTTGTAGAGCTCGTGCATGAAGCACTTTCAGGACCAGTAACCAGTTTTAGGATAGGTATCTTCTATCCTTCTATAGTTTAGAAATAATAGAGTGAAATCACTTATCTTTTCCTTCCTTTACTTTAATTAATAACTAGAGTAATTTTTACTCAGGGATTAAACTTTTCTTCTAACTTACGTCCTCGCTGTTAGTATCCACTTTTGCAAAAGCTCGGTGTTAATTTTAAGCTTTGTATGTTAAAACAATGGCTCGAAGTTCATACGAGTACAATGGAGTACACTATCAAACTTAACTTTCTTTGAGAGAAAAACCAGAAATCCTGAACGTCATTAAGTTTCAGTTTTTGACAGCAGCTCAAGAATTTTTGGCAGAAATGTTTTTACATGGGCCTTTTATTTTGTAATGTTTTGTCGGAATAAACGGAAATAAAATATAAAATGTTAGAGGATAATTCTAGCCCAGATCCTAGTGTCATTATAGATATAGCCGTTTCAGAAAGTACTAAAGAGGAACTAAAAGAACATAGTGATAAAGAAAGGAAAAGTTCAAATAAAAAAGACTATGTTGTGTACGAGTATTATGGACAGAACATACCGCCGTCCGTTACATGGGTACAGTTTTTCGGAACAGGTGTGATATAATATTATACAGCTGAAGAGTTTGTTAAAATATTTTTTCTTTCTTTCTTTCAAATTTCATCATCATCATCATCATCATCTCAGCCATAGGACGTCCACTGCTGAACATTAGGCCTCCCCCAATGCTTTCCATGTTGCCCGGTTGGTAGCGGCCTGCGTCCAGCGCTTTCCTGCTACCTTTATGATGTCGTCGGTCCTCCTTGTGGGTGGACGTCCCACGCTGCGTTTTCCGGTACGCGGTCTCCTCTCCAGAACGTTGCTGCCCCATCGGCCGTCAGTTCTGCGTACTATGTGCCCTGCCTATTGCCACTTCAGCTTGCTAATCAGTCGTGAAAAATTATTTTAGTGTTGTATTATAGCCCATTTATCGAGGAAGGCTTTACCATCCTACAGAACCACCCTACGCTACTACGGAAGGCATCACACACACTACAGCCAATAGGGGCGGAGCAGTAAACAAAAACGTGCGAAATCGCGGGCACAGCTAGTGCTTAAATTGATAAAATTGCCTTCGTTTTAGATGACACAGAAGACGCTCGACCTGAATCAAACACTCCATTTGATCCAAAAACCAGGAACGCCTTTGTACGGCTTGTGTTTATGATCGTTTTCGCCATGATTCTCGTCACTATGATCATTAATCTTATCTTTAGATTTACGTAAGTATAGTCTTCCATTGTAAAGGTATTTTTAATAGATAGGTAAGTTATAAGAAAAATTGTGATTCTGTCAAAGTAGAAATACTCGTAACTCTCCCCACCGAGAAAACTAAGCTTCGGCCAAACCAACGCGTGCAGCTCGCGTCGGCGATGGCGATATGGCAATGGCGACCATTGCGAGTGCATACTGCATAGATCGCCGCGACCATGACAGGACGCGTTGATGTGAACTTATCGCCACAAATTCTGAACGCCACCGCCACAGCCATCGCGAATGCAGGCTGCATGCCTTGGTTTGACTGAACCTTAACAACGAAGTAAGAGGGAAATATGCGACTACCCATGTTAGACAGATGGGTTGGGGAGGCCTTCCCCTCTAGACAAAATGTGACAGTTTTTGTCGAAAGATGGTCGAAAAGCCTTTTTTGTATGGAGTTCTAAGGACTTCGATTTTTGATTCGATCAAAAAGTGTTACCCACTGATGCCCAACCCACGTTACATGGATAGTGAAGCCAAATCCTCCATTTGATTGATTCTAAATAACCTGATCATGATGACGAAGTTACCTAAATGAAATCTGCCACTTAAATTATTATAAATGTAAAAAAAACTTTTTACTTTTTTTACTTGCAGACCGCCCTTAGCCAGGCTTTTAACTGGAAAATCTGGACTTATTATAGCGATCGTATGTATGTAAGTTTATTTATTTATTTATTCCACTAATTGATTCACAAACGGATACAAGCAAACTTTAATGTTTTTTTTTTGTTATCAGAATTCTTTATTTCGTTTTGACAATCTCGGTCGCGTCTAAATGCGCCTGGTATCCGCCTGGTAACTACATTATACTTGTATCATCAGTAAGTTCTCTTTATTATTGATTTACAATAAGTAACTAAAGTCCGGTCGCCGAACACTGCAATTTCGTCCAATGACCCCAAGCTACCCATCCTCATCGCTCGCGAACGGGCGGCCGCGGCCGCAGTGAGTGTGCAGTTGGTATAAGTACTATACTCTATGGTGTGCAGCAACAGCAATTTAATTACGCGCGAGCGATAAGGATGGGTAGCTTGGGGTAATTGGACNCATTGGATGAAATTTATACCTAATGCCTTAATATTGTCATCTTTCTAGGTAATTGTGTTTAGTATCATCACAGCGTACTCCACAGTGTATACAAAGTCTGTAGTGATTATATTGGCCATCATCGCAACTCTAATTGTGGTCTTAATCTGTTTTTTTATAGCATGTTCTTCGGTAAGTTACAAATGTTAAGGTGAGTTGGTAGTCAGTACGTAACTGCATAGGTTCGAAAGGCATTGTAGCGACGAACGCTGTTGCGATTTTTTTTCCACTGCCTCAATTCGAAAGACGTGGTAGCGAAAAACGCTGTTTCAAAAATATTTTCACTGCGATATACGTTTTTAAGATCCTAATAGTTACCTACTAACCCCCTTACTAATAAAACTTACACGCTCGTTGAACAGTGTTTTAAAGTGACGTTTAGTATGGAAATGTCATTTTAAAACAGTGATCAACAACTGTGTAACTTTTTATTAGTAAGGGGTTTAGTATGGAGCTTCAACCACACCAACGCGTGCAAATCGCCATCGCCGGCCGCGACCAAAGGCCAATGCACAGATATGACAGGTCGCGCGACCCATGACAGTTCATGCGACCTGCCATTTCCCTATGATCGCGCCGTGATCGCGCCGGCGATGGCGATCTGCATGCGTTGGTGTGGTTGAAGCATAGATTTTTTTGTTTCAGTGGGACTTCACGAAGTTTCTTACTTATATATTTGTGGTGGCCACAGCCTTCGCCGCCATATCCATACTCATTACGGTGGCGATGTACGCCTTCAAGATAAAGTTTAAGCCACTGGTTTTGGCTTTGCTTGTCATCGGCGTTCTTATCCAGAGTGTCGTAAGTAATGTTTTTGTGACACACTAGCTGAAATTTAAAAGTAACTGAAGTCCGGTCCGAGCAACTAGAATTTCTTCCAATAACCGGGCTCGCACACTCACTGCGGCCGCCCGTCGCACAGTCGCGACAGCGATTTACGCGCGAGCGATAAGGATGGGTAGCTTGGGATCATTGGACGAAATTTTATCTGCTCGGCGACCGGACTTTTAGTTCATCTATAATCTGCTTATTGTGATCGCGTGTGGTAGAGCGGGTTTCTTGTGGAGACAAAAGAGTTTTTTGTCATATATAGTTAATATTTTCTTTTCAGGTCCTCATAGTACAGCTCCAGTTGACTCTTGGAGGGAAAACAGTGGCGACTGGCGAAGAGTTTTACATTATATGTGCGTTTTCGTTGTACACATCAATCATTTCAATATTCTTACAATTATTGAGGTTTATAAAATTGGTATCATAAAGTTTGTAAAGGACTCTACTCACTATACTGTTCCATCACCTACCAACAACGTATTATTGCAAATCGAAAGTTTTTTACAGGAACCGTTTTTGGAAGGATTTTGATAATGCTATACGTGTTTTAATTACATTCACAAACTTTATTCTCAGTTTAACCCTAAGGTTGACTGGAGGATAGTGCCGAAAGGTTAAGTTTGAAATAAATAAATAAACTTCCCGTTTCGTCACGATATGCATGGTGTAGGGGGTAGAGTCCTAGATTGTCTCCAACGTGTTTTTATTGCTGTAAATTAGTCTTAACGGGTCGCAGTACAGTCAGCTCTTAGTTCTTAGTACAATTAGTTCGTGACACCCAAAGTAGCCAATAAGTTCGCAACACGTCTTTGTTACAATGACATAGCCACGATAGCCGAACGGTGTGAAGGGGTCGGACTGGCTGACTCGAGATCCGAGGAACGCGGGTTCAAACCCCACCGCCGCTCGACTATTGTGATGAGCCCACTCGTAACACAAGCTTATTTAGCTTAACACGAGGGGCTAACAGGACTATTAGTAATTTGTGCAATACAAATTGCTAATAATCTTTAGTAAAAGATTGGAATAAGGTTGTGTTATCAACTTTTTGACCACTTTGGGTGTCATGACACCAACTATTTGACGCTGACTGTACCGACAAATAATAGGTTATAGATGACCCACGCTGAACTGTCCCACCAAACTCAATGACAGGGGGGCGCTACCTTCGTTCAACTATATGGTTTCCAACATGGCAAAAATCGGAACCTGCGATTCGGTATTGACGGTGGCGCCCCACTGTCAATGTCATCGATAGGACAGTTCAGTATTTTGGAACTATAAACCATTGTAGCTCAATGTCATCGACCATATCTTTGGTAACCTGAAATAAAGGCTGTTTATTTTTAATTAATTGGACTTTTAACGGCCGAATACTGAAACGCCATTTAAATATTTGACGGCTTCTCAAANAATTGGACGAAATTTATACCTAATGCCTTAATATTGTCATCTTTCTAGGTAATTGTGTTTAGTATCATCACAGCGTACTCCACAGTGTATACAAAGTCTGTTGTGATTATATTGGCCATCATCGCAACTCTAATTGTGGTCTTAATTTGTTTTTTTATAGCATGTTCTTCGGTAAGTTACAAATGTTAAGGTGAATCAGTACGTAGCTGCGTAGATTTGAAAGCCATTGTAACGACGAACGCTGTTGCGATTTTTTTTCCACTGCCCCAGTTGGAAAGTTCGAAAAACGTAGAAGAGAAAAACTGTTTCAAAAAATATTTTCACTACAATTAACTTTTTTAATAAGACCCTAATACCTACTTAGTATGGAATTTCAACCACACGAACGAGTGCATATCGCCATCGCCGGCGCGATCAAAGGCCAATGACAGGTCGAGCGACCCATGACAGTTCACGCGACCTGCCATTTCGCTATGATCGCGCCGTGATCGCGCCGGCGATGGCGATCTGCATGCGTTGGTGTGGTTGAAGCATAGATTTTTTTGTTTCAGTGGGACTTCACGAAGTTTCTTACTTATATATTTGTGGTGGCCACAGCCTTCGCCGCCATATCCATACTTATTACGGTGGCGATGTACGCCTTCAAGATAAAGTTTAAGCCACTGGTTTTGGCTTTGCTTGTCATCGGCGTTCTTATCCAGAGTGTCGTAAGTAATGTTTTGGTGACACACTAGCTGAAATTTAAAAGTAACTGAAGTCCGGTTGCCGAGCAACGAGAACTTCGTCCAGTGACCGCGCTCGCACACTCACTGCGGCCGCCCGTCGCACAGTCGCGACAGCAATATAATTACGCGCGAGCGATAAGGATGGGTAGCTTTGGGATCATTGGACGAAATTCCATCTGCTCAGCGACCGGACTTTTAGTTCATCTATAATCTGCTTCTGTGATCGCGTGTGGTAGAACGGGCGTCTTGTGGAGACAGAAGAGTTTTGTTATACGTATTTTCTTTTCAGGTCCTCATAGTACAGCTCCAGTTGACTCTTGGAGGGAAAACAGTGGCGACTGGCGAAGAGTTTTACATTATATGTGCGTTTTCGTTGTACACATCAATCATTTCAATATTCTTACAATTATTGAGGTTTATAAAATTGGTATCATAAAGTTTGTAAAGGGCTCTACTCACTATACTGTTTCAAAACGGTATAGGTACATCATAGAGATATAGAGAGATGCCAACTAATGCGCGGAGTTTGAAACTCAGTGTCGCATTAAAAATTCACACACACAAAGTAATCAAAATATGTGCTCATTATCCACTGCAGTATCAGTTCAGTACTCGTAATTTGTTATTACACACATTACTAATAGTCCCGTTAGCCCCTCGTAGTAAGCTAAATATGCTTGTGTCACGAGTGGGCTCACCGCAATAGTCGAGCGGCGGCGGGGACCGAACCCGCGTTCCCCGGATCACGAGTCGACCCCTTCACCATTCGGTTATCGTGGCTTGTGTGTTCACACGACAGTAAAGTTTTGCGGGATAGGTAACTACTGCATTACTGCACCCCGTAAAACTGGATTGGCGTGGGAACACGCCGACTATTTATTGTAAGTCTGGTGGAGGGCGCTAACGACTATCATAAAGTTTTTCAATAAAACTAGTACATGCGTTAACGTTCAACCGTATAGTCTCATCATTATGTCGCCAACACCTTGTCCTTGTGATGATGATACCATGTAACAATTTGTTCAATTATTTATATCTATTTGAACACGTCACTCGAAGTGGTCACGATATGCACGGTGTAGTGGGTAGAGTCCTTAAATTGTCTCAAATTGTGTTTTTATTTCTGTAAATTAGTTTAAACGGGTCCCAGTACAACTGCGTCAATTAGTTCTTGACACCCAAAGAAGCAGCCAATAAGTTCGAAACACGTCTTTGTTACACTGACATAGCCACGTTAGCCGGTGAAGAGGTCGGACTGGCCGACTCGAGATCCGAGGAACGCGGGTTCGATCCCCGCCACCGCTCGACTGTGGTGAGCCCACTCGTAACACAATCTTATTTAGTTTAACACGAGGGGCTAACAGAACTATTAGTAATTTGTGCAATACAAATTGCTAATAATCTTTAGTAAAAGATTGGAATAAGGTTGTGTTATCAACTTTTTGACCACTTTGGGTGTCACGAAGTTCATGACACCAACTATTTGACGCTGACTGTACCGACAAATAATAGGTTAAACCATTGTAGCTCAATGTCATCGACCATATTTTTTTTTGGTAACCTGAAATAAAGGCTGTTTATTTTTAATTAATTGGACTTTTAATGCACCTATTTGTATTGTTAAAGACTTCATTGATAACTTGGCGTGAGTCCGCGATGTTCTTTATATTGATCCACATAAAAAAGGAAGGTTCTGTAACTACTTATTTAATAAATAATAATAATACACAAAACCACTTAGTAGGTAGGTATTTAATGTGGATGGTACTGGATAATGGAGGCTACTGACAACGCCATTCTTGTGGCGGAGTTTTGGGCTGACGCTGTGTAGGTATGATAACACGACACGACTCACTGACACCAGAGGTGGTAAGCTTCGGTCTCGCGATCGCAACACAACGCTGCGGTATGCGGCATGCGGCCTGCGGTGGCGGACACATAATCGTACAAAAAACGTCTAAAATGGTCTATTGTTTCGTCGTAATGTGCGTCAGCGGTGAAGAGCAATCCGTCGTAGTTTGCGTCGAGACTAAAGTCCGGTCGTTGAGCAGATAATATAATTTCGTCCAAAGACCCCAAGCTACCCATCCTTATTGCTTGCGCGTAATTCTATTGCTGTTGCGCTCGCACAATCACTGCAGCCGCCCGTCGCACAGTCGTCGTGACAGCAATATAATTACACGCTAGTGATAAGGATGGGTAGCTTGGGATCACTGGACGAAATTCTATTTGCTTAGCGACCGGACTTTAATACGGTTTACGATCGCGAGACCGAAACTTACCTTTGGTGTGACAAGTTTTGGGACACTCTGTATATTTACTGAACAAAGTACTTCTTATCGGGCACCAAAAGGATATCTACGGACGATCCCTCAATATAGTTCATTCTTCGACTGCTTAGGCTACAGGTTTCCTTCGGTTTCTGAGAAAAAAAAGCATTATTAACAAACCATATTAAAGTTAATATTATTATCTAGTTACATCACCTTTTAATAGATCATTTTAATTTTAATATTTTAAATTAGTTACTTAGGCTGAGTTGCACCACCTAATTTTGACCGTAACTTTAACGATAACCGATGTTTTTTGTATGGAGTTTGACAAATTTTTGACGTTTCTCAAAGTTAAAGTAAGATGGTGCAACCCAGCCTTACAGTTTTGCATAAAAACAATAATATGATTTAGTTCTTTTACCTGGCCTATCTTCTTACGCAGTCGTATACCAAATACTGCACTTTCTGAGAGATAACTGAAAAAAACAGAATAGTACTTAATCAGTTAAAATTATTTAATACTAGCTTTCCGCCCGCGGCTTCGCTCGGGGTTTTCCCGGAAATTATTCGAATTTTTCTCGCCGTAAAAACCATTCTTGGATTTCAACGGACATTTAAAAAAAATTGGCAAAATTGGTGCAGGCGTTATTGAGTTATGCGCTTACCAGCACATTTTGCGATTGGCGGAGAATTCATTTATCCTCATTTTGTATCATTTTTGTTTGTGCAGTAAATTACGCTTTCAATTCACACACTAACATAATTTTACTAATAGCCAGTGACCGAACTGTAGCATTTTATACTTACATGTTCCACTAAAACGTTTAATAAGCATCATTAGTTAAATAATCTTGACACAAAAAATATGACAAACTCATCTTCAAAATGGGTAACGCATGGTTTTAAGTTTGACGCATTTTTTGGTGTATTAAACTTAAGTTATGAATTTTCAGCGTGGTATGTCAAATCCTCCATCTGCCTCTGGTATTTTTATTCCATTTTATTGCAATTGTCATGATGGGATAACTTACCGTAAATTCACAGTGTCCATAGCAATTACCACCGCCACCACCACCAATCCCGCCGCCACCGCCACCGCCACCACCATATCGATCATCATAATATTCGTCCACCAGCTAGCAAAAATGTGACAATAGTTTGTGATGTGTGATTTGAGATGCTACTATTAACGCTTAAAAATTAATAACTATGTGACAATAGATCATCCATCTCTTAGGCGATTATCACACTGCACCGCGCTCCGCCGCGGTCCGCGTGATTACATATAACGATCCCGCGCGCAGACGCGTTGTCAGTGTGCTGTGACGCGCGTGTTTTAGCTATGCAAACTGAGGTACTTGCATACAATGATTAAATCTGTCGTCCCGCGTACCGCGGCGGAGCGCGGTGTAGTGTGATATCGACTTATTCATTGCATTGTTTGCTCATCCTTATAGCTTGCGCGTAATTATATAGCTGTCGCGCTTGCNACAGTGTCGGAAGGGCGGTCGATTTCAAGTTTTTAAGCAGAAGTACTTTGTAGTTGGTGTTGTTATTTGTAACTTTATACCGTAATGTCATCAAAGAGAGTGTTTGGCATCTTTGGCATCCCCCCCTCCATGTCCTTTCTTTTAAATCGGTTCAACGATTCTTGAAATAACACCATTTTATAAAATAATTGGTCACATCATCATAACGTGATCAATTTTACGATTTGGCCATGATATTAATACATATAAGGGTCACTTATTACTTATTAATCAATAAACTTAAATGAGAAAAATTCAATAAAAATAAAGAAAAGATACCAATTGAAATAATTATAAAATTATTTGTTTTCACCCGGTGTAAACACCCACGGGTGGAATGAAACGGGTTTTTATTGGGTTTTAACCCTCATGTGGGTTTTTACCCGGGTGGAAACCCATCTCTAGTCGCGACAGCAATATAATTACACGTGAGCGACAAGGATGGGTATCTTGGGGTCATTGGACGAAATTCTATCTGCTCGGCGACCGGACTTTAGCATAAAAACACTTAATATTTAGTTCGTTTACCTGGGCCAACTCATTACGCATACAATATCCATCGCAATCTCTATCAAAAAATCTGGTGCTTCCGTAGGCAGTGTAGCCTTTGAAATAATTAAGCTGTAACAATAGAAAATTATATTATTTTACGCAACGCGAAAGTTTAAAAATAAACTTTTAACATGCAGTCAACTTAGGCTGAGTTGCACCACCTAATTTAGACTGTAAGGCCCAGAACAGACGGTGAAACGCAACTGCAACGAAACTGCAACTGCTAGTTACTTTTGAGTTGCATCTAAGTTTCTGCCATAGCGTCCGTTGAGAGACCACACATGACGCGACCATTTTTAAGCATTCGTGAGCAAAATTGTCTTAAACGAGCAAATTTCCATTGGATACTTTCAAATAAATCATAAAAATGCATTATACACGTGAGTGCACAAGTGTTGTTAGAGACCCAATATACTGAACTGTCCTACCCGTGACATTGACACCGGCGCGCCACCGTCAATACCGGATNTACTCGTACCGGATCGCTGGTTCCGATTTTTGGCATGTTGAAAACTATACGGTTGAACGATGGTGGCGCCCCCTTGTCAATGAGTTTGGTGGGACATTTCAGTTTAGGTCATCTATATTACATTACATTACCTATTTATTACAGCTATTTCAAATTTTCACTGACCTTTTCCTTCTTCACATCTTTAGGAAGTGTGTCCGCTGTTAAAATAAGACATGACGTCACTAGACTTATGACCAGCAACCGCATCTTGCCTCAGGCATTACAGCCTTTACACATTATAGACTTTATAAATGAAATGTGTGAAGTTTGAGCGATGTAAGTAAATTAAAAATTTCGAAAACACGGCCATATTACCGTGCTTAATTAGCTTACATTACGTTAATTATGATTCAGTGTTCATTGATTAATTAATATTTCCGCAGGTGACAAGCGACTAAATATTCCATTTGCTTGCTTTAACAATGGTGAAAAAAATTAGATACTTAAATGTACACCGTAGGCCATCTACGAAAAACCGTAGACAAATTATTGATCGTAGTCACTTTGTAGCTACGAACGTCACTGCTACGAACTTCACGAGTAGCGTAGCAAAGGTCTACAATGCTACAGCGTAGCGTCAACGACGTCGACGAAATAATAATAAAAACCGTGAATAATATTTTCCTGATTATTATTTTATCGTTATAAACTTTTATGTTGTATTATAATTATTTAATAACATTCAATAACAAAAAATTGGTTGGTAATTAGACCGGCTTCTTTTTACCCGACTGCGCCAGAAGGAGGGTTATGTTTTTAATAGCATTTTTGTCTTCTAAAAATCTATATTGTCATGCATGGGAATTACTAAATCAGCCACCATGAATGCGCATCTAAAAATGCTATTTCAGCCACGTCTTCGATGTTAGCTTCTGTAAATATAACTTAGCATGGTAGTTATTTTTTAGCATGTACTTAGATTCAAGCAGTAAACTAGTAAATTTAATAATTGGTATCAATCAAATAACTGTATCGCCATCTAGTCTTTAACACCTTTGCTGCGGCAGTAACTTTCTAATACTTTCCATTCCTTCGGTACAAGGTCAATAAACCTGGTATTAAAACTTACATTGTGGCGGCACAAGGTTTAAAGACCTTGTAATATTTAAGATATATTAATTTTATTTTTGGCTTCATGTTAATAGATATTGTGTATTTTTTCTTTGAATATTAATAATAATGCATTTATTGACATACACCTGAAGGCGTTCGTGAATAACTTGTTTAGTATAAAAATTATAGCTATATTCAAAATACAAGGCTTATGCACCCTGTGCCGCACTGAAGTAGGGAAGTCTGGTGGGTATTCTAGGGATGTGAAATACAAATATCGATAGTTGGTGACTGGGTAATTTACAGCAGACATTATGTCCACTGTCACTTCATTTGTAACATCATTTTCTGCTTCGTCTGAGTCCAAATTTCAGGTTTCTTCCCCTTTTTTTAAATGTAATCGTGCTTCGCCATAAGTTTCTGAAATAAATAAAAAAGTCTCACAATAGTAAAATCTAGAAATAACTTAGCAATACAAAAATAAAGAAAATTATTTTACCATAACTTTTAAGTATTTTTATTTGATATTGTGACCATGTTGCTTCAGGTGCAGGCATCTTCTTCAAGTTTGTTTTTGATTTCTTCAGTGCATACATTAGGGTAATAACAAGTGTTGGTATCTTAACCACTTTGATGAAACTATGCCAGGAGCATCATCTTCATCTAAAAATGTAACCAAAAAAAATTTTTTTGATTCCATTATGCAAAGTCTGAAACCAAATAACACTATTAATCATAATTATNTGTAGTGTAATGTCACGCTCTAGTGTCGCGCCCTAGTGTCACACTCTAGTGTCTCGCTCTAGTGCCACACTTTAGTGATGCGCCCTAGTGCCACACTTTAGTGTCGCGCCCTAGTGCCACGCTCTAGTGTCACACTTTAGTGTCGCGCCCTAGTGCCACACTTTAGTGTCGAGCCCTAGTGCCGCACTTTAGTGTCGCGCCCTAGTGCCACGCTCTAGTGTCACACTTTAGTGTCGCGCCCTAGTGCCACACTTTAGTGTCGAGCCCTAGTGCCACACTTTAGTGTCGCGCCCTAGTGCCACACTTTAGTGTCGAGCCCTAGTGCCACACTTTAGTGTCGCGCCCTAGTGTCACACTCGTAGTGTCACGCTCTAGTGTCGCGCCCTAGTGCCACACTTAAGTGTCGCGCCCTAGCGCCACACTTGTGTCGCGCCCTAGTGTCATACTTTAGTGTCGCGCCCTACTGTCACACTTTAGTGTCACGCTCTAGTGTCACGCTCTAGTGTCGGGCTCTACTGTCACGCTCTAGTGTCGCTCCCTACTGTCACACTAGTGCCACACTTTAGTGTCGCGCCCTAGCGCCACACTTTAGTGTCGCGCTCTAGTATCACGCTCTAGTGTCGCGTCCTACTGTCACACTCGTAGTGTCACGCTCTAGTGTCGCGCCCTAGTGTCACACTTTAGTGTCGCGCCCTAGTGTCACATATTATTTAATAACATTTAGTTACAACTTTAAATGTTTGTCACGAAAAACATTATTTAAATTAGCAATAAATCGTGTAGCAAATTAAATTATAATCAATTTGCAGTTTTGATTTTGTTCGTTTCTCTTGACGCCATGTCGACATGTGCGTTTCTTACAAATGCGAGGCAACACTGGCTGCACGAAGCTAGCGTGAGGTGCGGTACCAGGTGCGCAGGGTACAAGGTGCTTCGACCTGGTTTCGCATTGTGAAGACATTTTATTACTTCCGTGCGGTACCAGGTCTAAAAACCTGGTATTAAGGTAGGTACATCATTGGATTCTATTTTAAGAATACATCATAGATATATGTTCATCACTTTCCTACACCGGACCCAATTGAAGTTATGCCTTTCGCACGACAAGGAAGACTATAATTTTCTTAGCCGCACGGTAAGCGAGACGTACACCAGGTCTATAGACCTGGTTTCGCACTCAACGTTTTAAAAATTTGTGAAACATCTTTTATGACTCGCCCTATGATCATCAAAATATACCATGGCTATCGAAAAATACTAAAATTGTTATCTAATAATAAATTAAGGAAAATATTTCCTCATAATTTGAAAATGTGAGGCAAAAATGTTTGTTTTTTTTACAAAACTTTGAAGAGCAGATATTATCTCAGTTCATACAAATTGTATGAGATCAATGTCATGTTTTTTTCCATAATGACACGCATGCTATATCTGGCAAATTATTGTGTATTTTTCTATTCTTTTTACTAGGGACATTAATTGTGCTAAGCAGGGTGTCGAGTAAGTTTTAATTTTATTAAATAAATTTTATTTTTATTTATTTATTTTAAATAAATAAATATTGATATAGATAACCTAATGTGAAATAAGATAAATAAAACACATGATTTGAAAGTCACAATTTCGGTTCTGTTTTATTTATTTTAAGGAACTAATAAACAACAATTACGCATACAAACCAGTTCGTAGTTATTTAATGTGAATTAAATTCATATAATGATCGTGAGTACGTATGCGTCATGTTTATACAGAATGTGCCAAAATTAATAAGTCACACTCACACAGGAGGTAGCTGGGCGTAAGACACATGAAATAAGCAAAGTTTCGTAAGTTTGAGATATAACCAATTTTAGTTACTATAGTCCATAGAAAAGTTTGATGAGTTTTGAAATATGACTGATATTAGTTATTTTTTTAAATTGACGACATAATAGACTTGTGCGATGCTTCTTAAACTCATCTACCTCTGGTGTCAGTGTGACGTGCCAATTTTGGGACACCCTGTATGTTTACTTGACAGAGTACTTCTTATCGGGCACCAAAAGGATCTCTACGGACGATCCCTCAATATAGTTCATTCTTCGACTGTTTAGGCTACAGGTTTCCTTCGATTTCTGTGGAAAAAAAACATTTTTTATTAAAATAATATACTTATATTACTTTTTTAATACATATTATTTCATTTTAAAAAAACTATAGTTTTAGCATATAAACCCTTTAATTTATTTAGTTCGTTTACCTGGCTCAACTTCTTACGCAGGCGACTAATATAACTGAAAAAAGTCAGTTAGTATTATCAGTTAAAATTATTTATTTAAATGNTATTATTCAGAATTTTTCATTTTGCGAGGAGAAAATCTCTATAAAAACAAGCGGAGGAGGGGATTGGAGGTTCCCTCGAAGCCAGAGAGACTCGCTTGCGAGCAAGCTAGCCTAGGGTGGAGCTGCGGATGTCCAAGCTAGGACACTAACTCGCGGTTCCGTTTCATTGGGCTCCTGTGGACACCGTGGGCTTTTAGTAGATAGGTCCCACCTTTAGTGAGCAGGCGGGAAGAGTCCCAGAATAACCCACTGGCCGTCCCCATCGCCTAGTATGCGCAAAGCATTTCCCGACGTCAAAAAAGGGCTCGCGGATTGTAGCATTTTATACTTACATGTTCCACTAAAATGTTAATAATCATCATTAGCTAAAATATCTTAAAATTCTTATCACAAAAAATGTACCAAACTCATTGTAAAATGCGTAACGCAATATATATTAGTATTTTTGGCGCAATTTTCGGAGTTGAATTAATGAACAAAAAAAATCAGAATTGTTACTGCAGCTGTAAAAGTGATTTATAAAAGCCTACTTGCAAAAATAAAACTGGTTTGAGGTTTTTTTTACTTCAGGCCTCCCCAGCCCAATTACTTCAGGCAAATCTATGCCAAATCGTTCATCTGCCTCTGGTGAATTATTTCCACAGTGAATACAGTGGCGTGCTCTTTCAGTGGAGTCTAAAGGATTTGCCATACTGGATGAGGTCTGAGGGCCTAGTGTGAGTTTTCATCAATCGTGCTTACTAGTGAGCGCGTCAAAAAATGACATTAAATGTATGACGGATTGTACAGGGCCCCCGTAGCGGGAAACGTTCAAAAACTGAAATTTTCATATTTTTTAAACGCTCTCACTAGTGTAAACTCACACTAAGCCCTCTGAATGATGTTCATGCACGATGCAGGCAGCGTTCACTGTCACCTGAGCAGACCGCGTCCAGTGGACTTAGACCACATTTTATCCGAAATCTCATCCGCGAATGAGTTGTCTCCCTTTCAAAGTTAGATGTCGAATCATCCGCAAAATGATCAAATTCTTCGCATGAAACGTCACCGTTTCAAACTTGGAAGTGTCGTCTCATCCGAAATATTTAGATCTATCTTCCAAGTTAGAAACGGTGACGTTTCATCCGAAGATAAATATTTTACGGATGATTCGACACCTAACAAAGAAAGAGAGACAACTCATTCGCGGATCAGATTTCCTCGGATGAAATGTCAACTAGTTAAGTCGTCCAGTGTGGCAAATCTTTAAAATAACTCGACTGCCGCGTGCTGAAATTTTTACCATGATGGGATAACTATCAAGTGGCAGTGGGCGGGGCACATAGCTCGTAGAGACGATGGCCGTTCAGGCAGAAAAGTTCTCGAGTGGCGATCACGGGCTGGAAGACGTAGCGTGGGCTGGCCTCCTACTAGATGGACCGACGATCTGGTAAAGGTCGTGGGAGGAAACTGGATGCGGGCAGCGCAGGACCGTGCACTGTGGAAAACTTTGGGGGAGGCCTTTGTCTAGCAGTGGACGTCATTTAGCTGAAACGAACAAACAATGGGATAACTTACCGTCCAGACACAATATCCATAGCAATTGCCACCGCCAGCACCCCCAATTCCGCCGCCACCACCACCACCACCACCGCCATAGTAATAGCCGTAATAAAGCTATAAAGTAAATATAATTATTGCAATGTCCGGTCGCCGAGCACGTAGAATTTCGTCCAATGACCCCAAGCACCCATCCTTATCGCTCGCGCGTAATTATATTGCTGTCGCGACTGTGCGACGGGCGGCCGCAGTGAGTGTGCGAGCGCAACAGCAACATAATACGCGCGAGCGATAAGGATGGGTAGCTTGGGGTCATTGGACGAAATTCTACGTGCTCCGCGACCGAGCTTAATTAGAGAGAAAGTAAGAAAGATAGAAAGAAAGAAAAAATATTAAGGGAAAAAAAAGTACAAAAACAATGAAGAGAAAAAAGGAAAAAAAATGTTGCCAGTATCATCTTGACAGTTGACATTTTACTACCAAGTGCCAAGACACTGGTTTTCAGTGGGTACTACTACTTTGTACGTAGGGGCAAAAAGAATGTAATAAAATAAATTCAAATTGATTAAAATTACATTAAAATAAAAAATTACAATAACAATAAAATTATCGAAAAACAATACAATTACTAATTTCAAATAAATATTTTATGTCAATAATATTTAAAATTAAAATTCACAATAAAATAAAAATTACAGTAAGAATAAAATTAACGAAAAAAACAATAACAATTAATTTCAAATAAACATGTCAAAATAAATTAAAATTATATTACGTAACGCGAAACTTTAAAAATACTAATTGTTTTATCGCCTGCAAACCTTCAGATATTTGATCATGAAAAAAACTTAGCTGGGCACAATTTCACTGACCTTTTCCTTCTTCACATCTTTCGGAAGTGTGTCTGCTGATAAAATAAGACATGACGTCACTATACTTATGACCAGACACCGCATCTTGCCTCAGGCCTTACACACTTTATTAAAGACTTTTAAAAACAAAAGAAATGTGTGAAGTATGTGCGATGTAAGTACATAATTAAAAATTTCAAAAACACGGCCATATTGCCGCGCTAAGACCGTACTTAATTACTTAATGAGCTTACATTAAGTTAATTATGATTC